CGAACAAATCAGAGACACGGAGTCTAAGAAAATGTCTGGAGGCATCACCAATCCCCGACCTGCAGACGCAGGAGTGCAGTCCATCTGTCTCTCTGTAAGTATCACACACTTAAAGCTACACTGTGGAACCTTTCTGATGAGCAGTGCTTGTTTAGGTTTTTTTTTTAATTTTTATTTTTTTATGAAAATCATGCATTCTTCTCTTGAGTGGGATCACCTCTCCACAGATCTGGCTTGTAACTTGTGTTTCTCAAAGCCTTGCCTTGGTCTATTCTGGTGTGGCAGGGCATCCAGCTCTCATCCAAGTTGTGTTCTAATGTCATGTCCTCTGTTTGGTTAGTATTTTATATAACATCATATTGTGTACATTTATTTACTTCACATTATATTCAAATTATTAATATTTTTAGTTGCATTTATTTCATTTTTTTGCTGTTCACACAAGAAGATTATTTTTGCTGTTGCTGTTGGTTCACTCAGAAATCAGAAAGTCTGAAAATAGTGTACTATGTGCCCTTTAATAAATACAAGATAGATGTTTAATGCAATACTGTGGAACATTTTAGGCAAACTAACTTATCCATGGAGACAAGCAAGTGTCATAAAAAATGACCTTCTGTATTATGAGTGAATCTTGTGCTGTTTTTCAGATGAAGACAGATGTGGAGAAGAACAGAGGAGAGAATTTTGGGATTTTTGAAGCTTTATCCTACAAGACAAAAAGTGACGATGGAACCACCTACTACATCGAGGTCAGTTCCTACAATAGTTTTTATTTTTTATTAACCCAAAGACAATATTCTGATGATGTTTTGACAATAAGAATCCTAAAGATTAGAACTATCACCCTCATGTGTAATTAGCACAGGTACTACCCCAGCAAACAAAGTCATGATTAGACTTTAAGCTCCTATAGAGTTGTTCAGTGTCATGTCACTTCCTGGTTCATCAGTTGGTTGAAAACAATGATGTTTACAATTTCCTCTCTTTTTTAAGCGACAGCACGTGTCACGTTAAAAACACATTTCAGTTGTTTAAAGCCAAAATTGTTATAAGCACAGATCTATGGTTATAAACATGAAAGTATAATAAGAATTGGAAGATGAGCCAAATCCCCCAAAATATATATATATATTTTCTGCCTTATTTCCTCAACACGGACTAGCTCCTCCCACCTGTGTGATGTCAGAAACATGCACCGTGTGACCAGTTCTGACCAATCAGAGTGAGAGCTGCTAGAGTGGAGCCAGCGCGGGCTCAGAGAGGGGCTAGACTAAATCTTACAAAGCAAACTTTTAGACACTTTGACCATTTAAAAATGTGAAGACATTTTCTCTTGTTCAATGAATAAGGAACAAAAACCAAAGCTAGAAATCAACCCTGAAGTGACATCATCTCTTAACAGCTCTATATGACTCAAATTATGATCCACAAATGTTAAACTTTGTCATTATTTTGTTTGTTATTTGGCTCCACAAACGTGTCCTGTTAATCTTCTGATTTAAAGTCCTCTCAGATGACAACAGTCATGTCTTTGGGGTTGAATAATGGTGACACTCTTCTGAATCTTCTGTTTCTTTAGGTCTTCACTGGGGGGGACAAATATCTGGAGGTGGAAGTGTTTGTGAAGTTCACCTTCGGCAGTGGAGCAGTCCTCACTAAAGTTTGTGAGATCATTAAGACAAAAGAGCCTGAGCTTCTAAATAATGCACCAACTTGATTCTATATAAGTTTATAATCTGATACCAAATCAATGATGTCATATGTTTCATATAAACAGTTATGGTGCACACTTCACTAATCTCCTGTGGTTTTGTCTCATTTGTTCTTACTTCTTGTAATAAGTGTTACATCAATATTCTTCAATATTCTATGGTGATGACACACCTGATTGGTCTGTTATTAATGTTCATATCTTGATTTAAAAGTCCTGTGTTACGCTAAATTAACTCTTGTGATCTTAAACCATGTTTAAAATGTTACCTCCTGATAAACAGATGTGGACTTTTGGATTGTTTCATTCACACATGTTTTGAGTGTCCAGCCTGTCTGCATCCCCAAAGCTCAAAATGCTCTGTTTCACCTTGTGATGTCATGAAATGGTAGTTTTCATGTTATCAGCTCCTTTTACCTTTAGTTCAGTAGTTCAATTCCAGGGCTGAATGTATCCAAATGATTCTAGTCAAGGTGTCTGGAGTTTAAAAACACAATGGAGCACTTCCTGTATTCCACATGACATCACAGGGTGGAACAGAGTGTTTTCTGTTTGAGAGAACGTCACACAAGTCACACAGCAAGCCACAGTCAGACCAAGGACAGACAACAGAACGAGAAGAGCTCCCCCTTACCCCTTAGCCCCTCCCCCTGGTCTAACCAATTATCTTTACTCTGAGTTTATAAGGTTTAACACTGTACTCATGAACATAAAGCAAAGTGTAAACCACCATAATAAAAAAATACTTTAATAACCTCCCATATGTTTATATCAGTGGTGGGTCTCCAGGTCCTGCAAGTCCTTCTCTGCTGGTCTAAACAAATATCTGAATTACAGACTGATGTTAATTATGTTATTAATAAGTAATTCCAAATGATCTGTCCTCTTCCTTTCATTGCTTTTCCGATGCTTGTGCTGCTTCCACACATGTATTTTCATATTAAAGCATTTGACCAATCACATTTCAGCCGTCACTTGTTGCCAGGCAGAGTCAAAGTCAAAGACGTCAGAGCCCTTCATAATCTGTTCTGCAGGAACTTGAACACAAAAGAAATGTCCTGAAACTGTTGCTTCAGCCAATCAGATTTGGAGTTGGTGTCACCAGGGTCTCTAGCAGCAACGTCACCGAATTCAGACCCGTGATTGGACAAACAGAGACTGAACCAGCCAAAACAGTAAACTGCATCTGTAGCAGCTCCACTGATCCAAATGATTATTACTATGTATTACTGTTATTAATGAGCAGTGGTGTAGTGGGGATTTTTTAAAGTATGAGATTCATGACTGAACCAGGATTAAACCAGGTTTAAACCAAGTCTCTAAACCAGGACTAAACCAGGACTAAACCAGGTCTAAACCAGGATTAAACCAGGTCTAAACCAGGATTGAACAAGGACTGAACCAGGTCTAAACCAGGACTAAACCAAGTCTAAACCAGGACTGAACAAGGACTGAACCAGGATTGAACCAGGTCTAAACCAAGTCTAAACCAGGACTAAACCAGGACTAAACCAGGTCTAAACCAGGATTAAACCAGGTCTACACCAGGTGTTGTGCCCTTTTGTTTGAGGAGGTTTGTAACTCACGTAAAAAAATAAGCACTCGCGGAGATCCAGATCCGTTTATCCGTTTATTTTCAAAGAACAAAAATAAATAATGATATATTCTCCGTGGTTGACTTTCCTTTTTTTTAATATAACGTGTGTGTGTGTGTGTGTGTGGTCACAAAATAGGATCTTCTCCTCTCCAGTCCTCCACGGGCACTGCCTTACCCCGCCCTGCTCCTACAGGTGACAAGATATACCTGATTGCAGGAGGAGGGGAGAGGAGATCAGGAGACTATAAAAAATTCTATAATAAAGAAAAATGCAGTTTACTTTTATAAAAGTCAGGGAAAGTCTTTAGGACGTCCTAAAGACTTTCCCTGACTGTAAAGCTCTGGTCAGAAGTGTGATGGTTAAAACAAAAACCAGCATTTTGCAACGACCAATAAATAAACTATGTCTGCTCATGGAGGATGCAGATAAAAAAATAAAAAAAATAAATAAAAAATAAATAAAAAAAAAAATAAAAAAAAAGAGAACTTTGAACTATTAGTTAAACTTAAGAAACTTAAGATCTTCTGGTTGACTTAAATTGATTTAAAATTATATGATAATGATAATACTGGCTATTTTTTAATTTAACTTAAATTTGAAATTCTATGGCTCCCTCTACTGTTAAAATATGGTAATTGTTTTGCTAAAGCTACAACAATTAGGGGCCGGAATGTTGGAGCCAGTTTATATTTATTTAATAAGTTATTTATTTGATATATTTTTTATAAAAGTAAACTGCATTTTTCTTTATTATAGAATTTTTTATAGGTCTCCTGATCTCCTCTCCCCTCCTCCTGCAATCAGGTATATCTTGTCACCTGTAGGAGCAGGGCGGGGTAAGGCAGTGCCCGTGGAGACTGGAGAGGAGAAGATACTATTTTGTGACCACACACACACACACATACACGTTATATTAAAAAAAGGAAAGTCAACCACGGAGAATATCGTTATTTATTTTTGTTCTTTGAAATAAACGGATAAACGGATCTGGATCTCCGCGAGTGCTTATTTTTTTACGTGAGTTACAAACCTCCTCAAACAAAAGGGCACAACACCTGGTGTAGACCTGGTTTAGACTTAGTTTAGACCTGGTTCAATCCTGGTTCAGTCCTTGTTCAGTCCTGGTTTAGACCTGGTTTAATCCTGGTTTAGTCTGGTTTAGACTTGGTTTAGACCTGGTTCAATCCTGGTTCAGTCCTTGTTCAATCCTGGTTTTAGACCTGGTTTAATCCTGGTTTAGACCTGGTTTAGTCCTGGTTTAGTCCTGGTTTAGACCTGGTTCAATCCTGGTTCAGTCCTTGTTCAGTCCTGGTTTAGACTTGGTTTAGTCCTGGTTTAGACCTGGTTCAGTCCTTGTTCAATCCTGGTTTAGACCTGGTTTAATCCTGGTTTAGACCTGGTTTAGTCCTGGTTTAGTCCTGGTTTAGACTTGGTTTAAACCTGGTTTAATCCTGGTTCAGTCGTGAATCTCGTACTTAAAAAATCCCCACTACACCACTGCTCATTAATAACAGTAATACATAGTAATAATCATTTGGATCGGTGGAGCTGCTACAGATGCAGTTTACTGTTTTTGGCTGGTTCACTCTCTGTTTGTCCAATCACGGGTCTGAATTTGGTGACGTTGCTGCTTAAGGCCCTGGTGACACCAACTCCAAATCTGATTGGCTGAAGCAACAGTTTCATGGACATTTATTTTGTGTTCAAGTTCCTGCAGAACAGATTATGAAGGGCTCTGACGTCTTTGACTTTGACTCTGCCTGGCAACAAGTGACGGCTGAAATGTGATTGGTCAAATACTTTAATATGAAAATACATGTGTGGAAACAGCACAAGCATCGGAAAAGCAATGAAAGGAAGAGGACAGATCATTTGGAATTACTTATTAATAACATAATTAACATCAGTCTGTAATTCAGATATTTGTTTAGACCAGCAGAGAAGGACTTGCAGGACCTGGAGACCCACCACTGATATAAACATATGGGAGGTTATTAAAGTATTTTTTTATTATGGTGGTTTACACTTTGCTTTATGTTCATGAGTACAGTGTTAAACCTTATAAACTCAGAGTAAAGATAATTGGTTAGACCAGGGGGAGGGGCTAAGGGGTAAGGGGGAGCTCTTCTCGTTCTGTTGTCTGTCCTTGGTCTGACTGTGGCTTTGCTGTGTGACTTGTGTGACGTTCTCTCAAACAGAAAACACTCTGTTCCACCCTGTGATGTCATGTGGAATACAGGAAGTGCTCCATTGTGTTTTTAAACTCCAGACACCTTGACTAGAATCATTTGGATACATTCAGCCCTGGAATTGAACTACTGAACTAAAGGTAAAAGGAGCTGATAACATGAAAACTACCACTTCATGACATCACAAGGTGAAACAGAGCATTTTGAGCTTTGGGGATGCAGACAGGCTGGGACACTCAAACATGTGTGAATGAAACAATCCAAAAAGTCCACATCTGTTTATCAGGAGGTAACATTTTTTAACATGGTTTAAGATCACAAGAGTTAATTTAGCGTAACACAGGACTTTTTTAAATCAAGATATGAACATTAATAACAGACCAATCAGGTGTGTCATCACCATAGAATATTGAAGAATATTGATGTAACACTTATTACAAGAAGTAAGAACAAATGAGACAAAACCACAGGAGATTAGTGAAGTGTGCACCATAACTGTTTATATGAAACATATGACATCATTGATTTGGTATCAGATTTATAAACTTATATAGAATCAAGTTGGTGCATTATTTAGAAGCTCAGGCTCTTTTGTCTTAATGATCTCACAAACTTTAGTGAGGACTGCTCCACTGCCGAAGGTGAACTTCACAAACACTTCCACCTCCAGATATTTGTCCCCCCCAGTGAAGACCTAAAAGAAACAGAAGATTCAGAAGAGTGTCACCATTATTCAACCCCAAAGACATGACTGTTGTCATCTGAGAGGACTTTAAATCAGAAGATTAACAGGACACGTTTGTGGAGCCAAATAACAAACAAATAATGACAAAGTTTAACATTTGTGGATCATAATTTGAGTCATATAGAGCTGTTAAGAGATGATGTCACTTCAGGGTTGATTTCTAGCTTTGGTTTTGTTCCTTATTCATTGAACAAGAGAAAATGTCTTCACATTTTTAAATGGTCAAAGTGTCTAAAAGTTTGCTTTGTAAGATTTAGTCTAGCCCCTCTCTGAGCCCGCGCTGGCTCCACTCTAGCAGCTCTCACTCTGATTGGTCAGAACTGGTCACACGGTGCATGTTTCTGACATCACACAGGTGGGAGGAGCTAGTCCGTGTTGAGGAAATAAGGCAGAAAAAATATATATATATTTTGGGGGATTTGGCTCATCTTCCAATTCTTATTATACTTTCATGTTATAACCATAGATCTGTGCTTATAACAATTTTGGCTTTAAACAACTGAAATGTGTTTTTAACGTGACACGTGCTGTCGCTTAAAAAAGAGAGGAAATTGTAAACATCATTGTTTTCAACCAACTGATGAACCAGGAAGTGACATGACACTGAACAACTCTATAGGAGCTTAAAGTCTAATCATGACTTTGTTTGCTGGGGTAGTACCTGTGCTAATTACACATGAGGGTGATAGTTCTAATCTTTAGGATTCTTATTGTCAAAACATCATCAGAATATTGTCCTTGGGTTAATAAAAAATAAAACTATTGTAGGAACTGACCTCGATGTAGTAGGTGGTTCCATCGTCACTTTTTGTCTTGTAGGATAAAGCTTCAAAAATCCCAAAATTCTCTCCTCTGTTCTTCTCCACAGCACTCTTCATCTGAAAAACAGCACAAGATTCACTCATAATACAGAAGGTCATTTTTTATGACACTTGCTTGTCTCCATGGATAAGTTAGTTTGCCTAAAATGTTCCACAGTATTGCATTAAACATCTATCTTGTATTTATTAAAGGGCACATAGTACACTATTTTCAGACTTTCTGATTTCTGAGTGAACCAACAGCAACAGCAAAAATAATCTTCTTGTGTGGACAGCAAAAAAAATGAAATAAATGCAACTAAAAATATTTTATAATTTGAATATAATGTGAAGTAAATAAATGTACACAATATGATGTTATATAAAATACTAACCAAACAGAGGACATGACATTAGAACACAACTTGGATGAGCTGGATGCCCTGCCACACCCAGAATAGACCAAGGCAAGGCTTTGAGAAACACAAGTTACAAGCCAGATCTGTGGAGAGGTGATCCCACTCAAGAGAAGAATGCATGTTTTTCATAAAAAAAAATAAAATAAAATAAAAACCTAAACAAGCACTGCTCATCAGAAAGGTTCCACAGTGTAGCTTTAAGTGTGTGATACTTACAGAGAGACAGATGGACTGCACTCCTGCGTCTGCAGGTCGGGGATTGGTGATGCCTCCAGACATTTTCTTAGACTCCGTGTCTCTGATTTGTTCGCAGTATCAGGACTGTATCTGTGTTCCGTCTGCACGCTGTTTTAAGGTGGTGGTGATCGATCAGCGGGGGCGTATCGACAGTGCACACCTTTTTATGAGTAAGTCAGGTATCACATTTCAAGACTATTATAAAATGCCAATCTCTCATATCATGTGTTTTTGGTTAAATTAGTTATTCGAAGGTGTGGTTTGGAATTGGACACCTCATAATGTTTCAAACTATCACACTTGTTTTGTTTTGAGCATTAGCTGTTTGTTTACTGATAATGAACTTGTTACATGTCACCACTTGAAGCGTGGCTTTCTACATTCCACATCTTCCATCCACTGGTAAAATAATCTAATCAACAGGGAGTAGTTAACAGATATATTGTTTTTGCTCAAATTATTAGCAGAATTAGAAAGGCAAGATGTGCCAGTGTGTACTGGCAGTCGTCTACCTGCTCTGCTAAAATTGGTGTTTGTTGTGGCATTACGGGCGTCCACCGTCCACCCACTTCTCCCGACGTGAGATATAAAAAATAACAAATATAAAATCGCCTACAAGTTAAATGTCAAACCGGAGCTTCTGGCACTGGTGAAAATAACCTGCAAAGGCTCATGATATCAGCACTACTGTCCTATAGAGACCTGAGACATGAGGCGACACATGACACATGACGCGCTGCTCCATACTTTCAAAACATTCTAAAAGTAACTTTTAGAATGCACGGAAGGTGAATGAGGGCGGCTCCACTGCACGCGCTAGACGCGTGTATAGAACAGCGCATCATGCACGTGTAGATTTCAGAAAATAGGACCCATCCTATTTTTTGACACTCTACTCGAGCGTAGGCGCGTATCCCCGTCAAAATACATAGAGAGCTTGAATCTATTGTTGTATTTGTGCATTTACCATCAGCACAACGTACACCTGGGGCAGTTCTGTGCCGTGTGAAAGAGCCCAGGTCCCCACAAAGACTGTTAATTATTGCTTTGAAATGTACTTTTGAAATCCTGGCGTTTGCCGTGGTCAGTCTGTACAGACAGTAAATACAAACCTCTTTAGTTGGTTAGTTTTACTGTAGATCTGATACAAGAGACTAAACGCTCCCAGTCAAGTTTGATCGTCTCTCTCATTGGGTAACACGGAGCCAGTGCTGCGCGCAGACGTCCTGCTGGAGCTGCCGGTGGAACCACCCTCGCGGTGACGCGTGGCTGTGTTTTAGTGAGGTTACGTGCGTAAACGCTGATGTGTGCAGTGCTCGCAGCTGACTCGGAGGTGTATAAGCAACGCTGCAGTGTAGAGAATGTATGAGTCCACACAGAGTCTGCCGCGCTGGATGCGTAGCGGCGTAAGGACCGTGAAACTGAGATGGTGTAAAAAGCAAAGAACCCTTCATACACGTGTGGTTTAGTTTTGGTCAGCGGACATGGTGGGCAGTGCCAAATGCAAATTCAGGGAACGCCTGTTTCTGAGCTTAGCTGATGCACAGATACACATTTCATTAAGGC